GGCGTCGTCTTCCGAGGCCGGATTGTCAAAGATGCGGTAAAATGATCGGGATATGGACTCGGTGTTGGGCTTTTTCTCTAGTAGCCTCTTGACCAAGAAGGAGTTGCAAGCAGCGGCGGCCGACTGTAACAGCTTGCCGTCGGCATAGTTGACATCGACTTTGTGATCGAGCAGGATATCGACGAAGCCGTTGGCGAGTGCCAGGCTATCGGGCTCGCTCTCGGTTAACGGCAGATCGACAACCTGGGTGAGGACGGAGCTGAGACCGTCGCCGTGGGCTCCTTTTTTCAGGAAGCTGTGTAGAATGGTGAAGCCGGCTTCCGAGAACCAAGCGTCCGTGTTCTCCCGGGTGAACCCTTCTCTAATGGCGAGATTGAGATCGGCCGATAAGATTTTGGACTCGAGCATGAAGGCAAGTGGTTTTACCAGTGCTCTCCTCGTAGCGTCGACCAGGGTCTGGCAGTCGTTGGCGATCGGCGAGGCACCGTATCGGAGGAGAGACCGAATAATTTTGAGGTCGAGCTCCTCTTCGTTAATCGCGTTATTCAGTACTACGTGTAAGTCGTCGGAAACAGGCAAACCGGCTCGGAACAGCATATCGATCGCGGCGGCACGGGGTTCGCGACTAAGTTTCCAAGCAGCCCTCAGCGCCCTATTAAGCGTGGCATGCGAGGGCTTGTGTGGCTTCCTTTTGTTAGACCCCTTTAACGAAGCGTGGGATTTGGCGGAGGCAATGGATCTCAACGAGGCGCTTGATCGTTTACTCACTAGCCGCGTCCCGAGTTCGACCAACCCCAGCATCATTTTCAGACTGCTCAGGTAGGCGCTCCTCGTGGCCGCCCAGATGGCCTCGCCCTTGTTGTAGTTCGGGTCCGCGCCGGCTTCCAGTAGGATCTTAACCAGGTCGTCGCCTTCTTCACCGAATCGGACCGCGGATGCGAGCTGCGCGTCGAGTGCTTCACCTTCTACGCCGTGGACAAGGAGAGGCTCGAGGATGGCGGCCCGCGTCTTGAGGTTGCCGACTTCTGTGGCGGCTTGGAAGCCCCTTTCGATCGTCGATCGCTTGGGTGTGGTGGTGCCGCTGAGCAGCATGTTCAGAACATCGGCGGCGCCCGAGCGACATGCCTCCACGATGGCATCCTCGTCAATCTGCGCCCCATGGCTGACGAGAAGATTACCCAAGACCAGATCACCGTCCGCTGCTGCCGCAAGTAAGGCATCGGAAAGGACGGAGCCTGAAGCTCCATGCTGCAACAACACCTCGCATATCGCCGCCCTTGCTTCTCGGTTAGAAAGAAGAGCCGCCTCGGCGAAGGCATCGTTGAGCACAGGAAGAGGGTGCTTTTGAGCTAGTACGAGTTGAACAATATCAGGACGCTCCTTCTTGACTGCCGAAACCAGGGCCTCTCCATCGCTTGTGTTGGCCTTGGCAGAAAGGGTTCGGAGCAGCGGTATGTCGTTTGTGTAGGTGTTGATAGCGAACCCGAGAGCCCTGTTTACCTCAGCGCTAGGCGCGCCCGCGTCAAGCAACTTCTGGGAGAACTCGAGACGATCCATCGGGTCGGCGATCCGCAGAGCGTGGGGTAAAGCCGATGCGAGCGATGCTGGGTTTGGGCGGGCCGCGAAGAGAAGATCAGTGATTTGCGTATCGCTTGCGGCTACGGCATGGCAAAGAGCGGCGGCGTTGTGGGAGTTGACGTCGGCACCGGCGCTGAGGAGGACCTTGACGATGGATAGTTGTCGATGTTCAGGAAGGGTCTGAAGGAGGGCGTGGACTTCCTTCACGAGAACGTCGTTGAAGGGAGCCCTATCTTTTGTCTTTTGCAAGAGAATCTCAAGCTTGGCGGCCTTGGTATCTGAGAAGATGAGTTGCCCAAACTCGCTGACGGCCCTGCTGACCGTTGCATGTGAAGGTTTGCCGTGCATGAGCAGTGTCTCTAGCACTGGAGGGTCATGGCTGTGGATTGCTGTTACGAAAGATTAGCATCTCTACTATTCCCCTTAGCTAACAATCACTTACCGGAAGCCATGGCAATGCCGTTGTCAACGTTGACATCGGCATGCCCCTGCACCAACAACACTTGCAGAAGCTTCAGATCAGCTGGCCGATAGTTCAACGCGTTGAGCATTGCCTGTGAGACCTTGACCGGGTCCAAGTCCGGCACCGATGTCAAAAGCAGCGTCGCCATATCCAACCTCGCCTTAGCATCCTGGGTCGCAATGATCCTTGGCAGTACGCCAGCGGCAGTGTGAGGTGTCACATTCTTCTTGAGCAGCGCATTGAGCAGTCTCACGTCTTTTTGTGACACCGCAGCTACTAAAGCTGAGCCCTCGTTGGTGTTGATATCGGTGTTGTACTTGAGAAACAGCCCGATGAGATCTTCGTCGCGGTGTGGTGGCTCCTCGTCGATGGCCTCCTGTAACGCGTCGTGAACGATGGGCCCAGCGAGACCGCTCGTGAGGAAACACTCCACCATGCGATACCTGTTTTTCCGTGATAATGTCTTGGTGAGAGGGAAGATTTGGGCTAATGTGTCGCTTGATGGTTTGCTCATGAGAAGCTCCTTCGCCATCGCCGCATCACTTCTCATGACTGCGATCTGCAGAGCCAAACCGCCCTTGTGGTCGACGGATGCCGTTTGATGGCGGTCATACACCATTGATCTCGGCCCTTTCTTCACATCATGTTCGGCGATGGGACGTCCTCCAGGGAAGACGGCTGTGAGAAGAAGCTTGGCTGAATCGACGTCGCCTGCCTCCGCCGCCTCAATGAGCATGTCATGCAGCGCAGTTCCGTTTGCCCCTCTCCGTAACAGCAAATCCAACAATAACCGACGGCTCTCTACGCCCATGTTTTTCGGTATGAGCTCGACACACTCGGAGGCATGTGTTGCACTTAGTTCCGCATTGCCGCTGAGGATGATGTGCGCGACGTCTACCCGTCCATTCTGTACAGCTTTCCGAATGGCCATTGCGTCCTGATACTCTATTGAGACCCCATACTTGACTAGAAGACTGACCATGTCTTGGAATTCTGCAGCTGCGGCGTGGATAAGTGCCATGGCGGGTGCGTCGCCGTCTGTGCCGGCGCAAAGTAGTAGTTCGGCTACGGCAAGCTTGTCTCTTGGGTTCATCGACGGGTGATCCAACAAATTTGAGAAAGCCTCATCCAGTCCCGGGCGTTTCGGCGGATGGTTCCCCATGAGTATCGCAAGAGCAATGTCGTGACGTCCCTGGCTAATCGCGACTTTGAGCGCCTCCGCTTGGTTGTAGTCGCCGTCGGCATTAGATCGACTTAGTTGTAGCACCGTTTCCAAACACCCTGCCTTGGTCGCGTCCACCATGCACTGCGAGAGCCACGAAGTCGGTGGCCGGCCCTCAGACCGGAGAACGATGCCCACCAAGTCCGCCTGTCCGCCCGCCGCGCACGCCTGGCGGAACGATTCCTGGGCCTCGGGGCTATGCGCTACCCCGGCGCCGTAGCGGAGAAGAAGCTCGATGACTTCCACGTTTTCAGACTGCATGGCGACCGGTAACGAGGCGTCCAGGGCAAATGTATCGGCGTGGGGTAACAGGACCTGAATCATGTCGACCTGGCCATTGTGCACGGCGTGCTGCAATAACTTACTCCGCTCGCCGAAGCTGTCGAGACTTTTCCTTCGAGGCAGGATACTCGTCTTTGCCTTTTGCGCCATGTTGACGTCGCCGCCGGATGAGACGAGCTGTGTGATGAGAGCCTCTGCCACACCGGGCGATCCGCGGTCGGCGACATGCTTGTCGAGGGTGTCGAAGACGACCTTGTAGTCCCACGACTTCTTCTTCCCCGTAAAGGCGCGCCGCAGGTTAGTCGTTGATTCTGTGCGGCCGTGTGACATTTGCTTGCGCTTGAGCAGCTCCTCGGCCTTGAAGTCGTCCTCCGGGGTCCGGAAGCTGGGGGGGCTGGAGGGCCGCGTCAGGGGCGTCGGTGACGGCGGGGGCTCGAGACCCCATTCCTCCGCAAACTGGATGATCCGCCGCTGGCGATCATCCTCTGTCGGCGGAGTCGGCATCGGGGGCGAGCCGGGGGGAGAAGATAGGAATGGAGACAGTTTGGCGATGTGTTATACGGCGGTGACCTGGCCGTATGGTGCTAGGGAAAGGGAGGAGGGGGGGAAAAGGAAGAAAGGGAAGGGATGAGAAAGAGCTGTGAGCGGATAGCTCTCGTGAGGGTGAGGTTGAATGAGGCGGAGTGCTACGTGAGATGAGCTGAGAGAAGAGAGATAGAGAGAGAGAGAGAGGAGACGTGCGGCGCAAAGTTTCGTTTTCGTCCCAAGATGATGTTGCACGCTCAACGGCAGAGGGACGGCGGAAAAGACGGCCTATGGCCCGGTAGCAGTGTTGAGCGGAATAGCATGAACGGAGGAGGTGAGAACAAGCATCCAGGATCGATGGTAGGCTGACATAAAGAGGATACAAAGTGTGGTGGTAGTGGCGATTGGCGGTGGTGGAAGAAGAGACGTTGGATGAATGGACGGATCGATCGTTTGTTTGGGGGGCCTGGGAGGCTTCTGTCTGGGGTTCGCGGATGTTCGGCCCAGAACGACTCGTATCGTATCAGCTGTGCCCTCAACCGCTTGGGAAGAGGCCAGACGGGAGATGGCAGACACGGGTTAACCGCAGAGCTGAACTCAAAAGAAAGTGAGGGTGGGAAAAGTAGAATGATGCAAGCCGGGTTGAGGCAGAACGGACAGTTCTCTGACGGCCAGCCGCAGCAGAAGCAGCAAGCAGTAAGCAGTAGCAAGCAGTAACACGATGCGTAGCCCGTGTCCTTCTGCAGAGGGGTTAAAAGACGCGGGTGTGGTGGCCTTGGGAGTGAACGGATAGAAACTCGAGGCGAAGCACACCGCACGAAAGACGTCGGCGAAGAAAGATCGAAAGGTCCAACGGGCAAAGGGCAGATAGCAGGGGTCGCGGGTTGAGTTGAGTTGAGGTATCCCGAGGTCCTAAGCCTTGTGGCGACAATGCGTCGCGTTTCAGCAGGGTGGAGTTCAAGTTTTTCGTCTGTTCGTCCTTTTCTCTCTTTTTTTCTCTTGGAGAATTTGCTTGGAGACTTGCCCACTTTGGAGGCTGGTCCCCTAGTCTTTCCAAGATACGAGTGTCACAATAGAAAAACGGTCAGGGTGGCCGGGACCTCTTTTAGGAGTTGGAGCTCGGGAGAGACAAGCGTGACAAGCGTATCCGTAGGCTAGGCGGTTAGCGGACAGGTCGAAGGAAGGGTGTGGCTGGGGGTTTATGAGGTCGGACGATGGCAGGGCCCTTGAAGCTTCACCAAGGGACAGTGACGTCGATCAAGATTGATGAATGAGACCGTCGGCCTTTTTTTCCTGGACGTAGTCGTGATGAAGCTCCGGACTGGCAATGATTAAAGGGGATATCGCAGTTGACTGAAGCTCGGATAGCTAGGGGTATCCCCCCTGAGAGTGGATATTGGTTGACAATTAGAGGCAATGAAGAAAATGGAGATCCAACAGCAGCATGGGCATAGGGAGAGGATAAACGGCAGAAAAAGTTGGAGTATGGATAGTCATCCGCCCAAAGCCAGTTATGCAAACAAGCCTCGAGAGACCAGCCATTCCTCGTTTAAGCTTGTCGGGCGACCCGGGGGGACAGCTGCCGCCAGCGCCGGCGCATGTGAGTGGTGAGGATAAATGGGCTCGGTGAGCAGTCGACGCGAACGTGGCAGGGCATACGCGGACACGTTGACGATCCCTGGATCGCTGAAGGTCCCGTACGAAGCGTGGAGGCGTATGGGGTGGAGAGGTCAGAGAAACAGGAAAAGGCGGAGGAGACGGCACAGAAAGTGGAGAAGATGAAGGAGTCGAGCTACGGAGGAGGGGACCGAAGAGTCCGTTGGAGTACCCGAACGTCTTCAAAACCTCAACTTGAATCTCAAGTCCTGGACCAAGTCTTGGGCCAAGAGTTGCCGAGACTCCAGAGAGAGAAAGTAATCACTCATACGGACAATGCTAGCCAGGTCTCACGTTTCTCCATTGCCTGTTGACGCAGACAGCAACTCAATGGATCTATGTATTAGAACCAGTAGTAGCATGTGCTTCCGCTGACTATCTCTCGGGGCCGAGGGCAGAAAGACTCCAAAGCCAAGGAATGCATGGTCACCAAGTGGCTCTTCGTTTGACCCGAGTAAGGTATCCATACAGGTAGTCTGGGAAAACCACCCAAAGGCCTATGCTCCAAGATTCTGGGGCAAGATGAACCGGTCCCCGATTGTTTGAAGGACAAGAAGGGACAACACAGGCGCCGCAACAACTCCTGACCCCTGACAGAATGGTCACCATTCCATCGAGGGAAAAGAGGCACGAAGCATCCTGGACGGATAGCACGAATAGGTCATTGACGGTACGGAGTAGGTATCCGTAGATAACCTTGCAAACTGCCTTGCCGTTCCGGCCACCTGGCTGTGCGTTCCCGCTTTGGGTTTGCTCAACTACCGTAACTCTACATACTGTGTGGCGTTCGACGCATCAGCCCACGCGCAAAAGAAGGCTAAGAAAGTTCTTCTGCCGCCCTTCTCTTACGTGGCGTGCATGGCCGAAGGATGGCTGGCACACACACATACACAATGCCCGCAGCTCATTCGTCTCACCGAAACATTCCACCGTAGAAACAAATGCACGCTAGGTACAACGCTGCTGTGCCTTCGCAGTTAGACCAAGGTACACACAGAAGCCAAGCCGGGCTGAGCCTCATTGAAGACGCCATCGATTGCGTCCAAAATGTTCGCCTTTTTTTGACGCGTCTTGAGATCGATTGGTGAAGGCAAAATGCAACCCACACGCTGAAAAAGATGCGGTGACAGGTTTGATATAGCCATGTACGGTATGCTAAGAAGAAGCCAAGTGATCAAGACCAGGACTGATATATAGGATGGATGAGATCATTAAGAAGGGTGGAAGGGTGCCGACAAGTCTGAAAAGGTCACATCTAGAATGTCACCGCGGGAAGAAGAAATGAACCCCAGACAAAACCGATTGGCGATCATCCGGGTGCCCCGACGCATTGCTGTCCGCACTCAATCCGAGTCTTGGCAACTGACTAGCTTCAGAGATTCCCCGACTTTGGGAGGGAACATGCTGGTTCACCTCTTGATGCTTGACGACTAAAAGATCCAACTGGTTTCTCCCTCGTGCGAGTCCACGATGAACTCCATCAGCCCATCCACCATGAATGAACGACGGTGAATAATGCCGTGATTACCGACCCAGCAGCGGTGGCGTGTCGTCCAGAACCGGGCGCCTGTCATCTCTGCTCCAGAGACTACCTGGCAGCATCACTGCCCGCACTGCCGCCGCGACCAGCGGTTCATGCCAAGGGTGTTGAGGTGGTCAATCCATCATCAGACCTTCAAGGTTTGCAATGCCAGGCCGTGGATGAATGCGCTCGAGCACCCCTGTGGTGTCAAGTGGGTGCCCAAACGGTTTACTTTCTACTTTGCGATCTTGCCACTACTTCTCTTTGCTTTGTTTGAATTAGTTTTTCTTCCTACCAGATGCATAGTTTGCAATAGGCATCAAGTTCAATTAGTGTAACAAGGGGATAGTAGTGTTGTGGTCAGCTCGGTATGCATTAACTGGCAACACATTTTCTCATCCACCTCAGTGTATCGCAAGTCTTCAGTTCAACCCACAATGCCTCCCGATTTCCCTCTTCCATTAGATGCTCGAATTTCAGTGTTTGGGTGGTCGCCTTTTCTCCTTCACACTCGATGCAAGCTATGCAACTTTCGCAGTGAGTCGAGTAAAGAGTCCCGCTCTCGCAGTGCATAGCGATAGTTATCATACTCGATTGACCATCAAATGCACCAAGACCAGGTCTTTGAGACAATGTGATCAGTGATCATGATGATCATATTAATCGACCGATGGATGATTGTCAAAAAGTTGAAGCACTTCGCAATGAAATGAATGAGCATATGATGTGAAGCACCCCATCTCTCAGTCTCACTCTTACCCTTCATAGCCCTCTTCTCATACTCACCCTCACTCTCACATTCTCATTCTCACTCGTACACGACCGGCAAAGATCTCATCCACCTTTCACTGACAGCTGTCCGCCCATCGGGAAGCCGACCCCTCTCTCACCCGTCACCCGAACGTAGCCGCCTCCGGCCCCCCGCCCGCCCCTCATTGCCGACCTGAGAAGGAAGAGAACCCCGCCATCGTCACCCAAAGCTCATAGCTCCTACGCGCGAGAACAGCTGAAGCATTTCTAATCACGTCTTATGGGAAAGAAAGCCCCCCCCCCCTCCCCTCACTTCATCGGAACGCTGACTAAACCACAATTGTGACCTCAAGCGCAATCGGAAGCTATTCCAATACTGCGTATGCGTAAACGCCCCTCCGTCGTCCCATAGGTTACAGACTAAAAATAAAGAAAAAGAGACTGAGACCTCTCCTCCCATCCAAATGTCCCAATTCCTCATCTCGCGACCCTTCACATCCATCCGCACCCTCACCAGAAGCTCCAAACCCACACCAATCCTCACCACCCTCGCCGAATCCACGCGAATCCTCCCATCACAACCCTTCCTCAAGCAAACTCACCACCAAACCCGCACCTTCATCCCATCACCAACCCTCCAAACCTCCCTCTCCCCAGCCCCGCACTTCACAATGGCCTCATCCTCCTCCCTCCCCCAAACAATGAACGGCATCCAAATCCCCCGCACAGGCGGCACGGAAGTCCTAACCCACCACACCGACCTGCCCCTCCCCGCCCTCGCCGAGAACCAAGTCCTCGTCCGCAACGAATACGCAGGCATAAACTACATCGACACCTACTTCCGCACCGGCCTCTACAAAGCGCCCCTCCCCATCACACCCGGCCGCGAAGGCGCCGGCACCGTCGTCAAGTCCCACCCTTCCGTCTCCGGCCAGTTCAAAGAAGGCGATCGCGTGGTCTACATGGGCCCCTTTGGCTCCTACTCGGGCTACTCCGCCGTCAACGCCGCTCAGCTCCTGCACATCCCCGACGCGCTGGCCACGGATAAAGCCGCCGCCGCGCTCCTGCAGGGTCTCACGGCCTGGACTTTCGTCCGCGAGGCGGGGGAGGTGAGGGAGGGGGAATGGGTCCTCGTCCACGCGGCCGCCGGCGGCGTCGGGCTGCAGCTCGTGCAGATGCTGCGCGCCGTGGGCGCGAGAGTGATTGGCACGACGAGCACCGATGAAAAGTGCGCGCTGGCCAAGAAGAACGGCGCAGAGTTCATTGTCAACTCGCGCTCGCAGGACCTCGTGGAGGAGGTGGCGAAGATTACGGGCGGGCACGGCGTGGATGTCATCTTCGACGGTGTTGGAAAGGCGACGTTTGATAGCGATATCGAGATGGCGGCGCGTAAGGGGAGGTTGGTCGTCTTTGGCAACGCGGTAAGCTCTTCATCAAACATTCAGACGTGGTCTGCTAGTCTAGTAGCATCGCTAACATATTCCTCCAGTCGGGAGCCGTTCCTCCTTTTGACATCCTCAAGCTGGGTCCCAAGAACTTGAAGGTCATGCGGCCCATTGTCAACGGCTACACTGCTACCAGGGAGGAGCTGGAAAAGTACAGCACGGAGCTCTTTGACATGATTACCTCGGGCAAGGTGGAGGTGGCCATCCACAAGGCGTACCCGCTCAAGGACGTCAAGCAAGCCCACGAGGACTTGGAGAGCCGCAACACGACGGGGAAGCTGATCCTCAAGGTGGATTGACTAAACGCACGTCTATGATATTCATGAAAGCGGGTCAACCAGGAGGTGCTGCGAGGGAGTGGTATCTTAAACTTTTTTTTCTTTTTGTAATTAAATCCTCTCTCTATGGCGGATGTCGTATCATGGCTCTCGCTGCAAATAGCACTAATTCTATCATCATCTATGATAAGCAACCAAACTTTTTTCTTTTTTTTCAAGATGTGGCTGATGCACTGATACATATCCGTCCCTCCTTTTGCTTAACCGCTCGTGGGCTTGGCGTTGGCAAGGAGCTCAGGGGGAGGGTCCTGGCGGTAACCCTTGGGGTTGTTGCTGACCCAGCGCCAGAGATCCTCGCACGCCTTCTCCAGCGTCTCCTCAGTCTTCCAGTTGAGCTCCTTGTTGGCCAGGGACGGGTTGGCAGTGAGATCGAGAACGTCGCCCTGGCGTCTGGGGACAACATCGTAGGGTAGATCGCGGCCGACAACATGGCTGAAAGCCTTGATCATCTCGAATACGGTGCTGCCACGGCCGGAACCAAGGTTCCATGCCTTGACACCAGGCTTGTTCTCGCGGAGGTAGTTGAGGGCGCTCAAGTGACCCTTGGCCAAGTCGACAACGTGGATGTAGTCGCGGATGGCGGTACCGTCTCTCGAGGCGTAGTCTGCTCATGATCAGCGGGGCTTCTCCATCATTTCGCCATAGTTACTTACCGTCACCAAACACGAGGAGCTTGTCGCGGTCACCGGTAGCGACCTTGCCGAGCAGAGGCAGCAGGTTGTAAGGGACGCCCTGGGGGTCCTCACCCATGAGACCAGAGGGATGAGCACCGCAGGGGTTGAAGTATCTCAGAAGAGCGCCGTTGAACTGCTCGTAGGGCTTGCCAGCCTTCTTGAGCTTGTTGCGCTCGGCGTTGATGTGATCAGTAATAACCTGCTCGACAAAGGCCTTGGTGTGGCCGTAGGTGTTGGTGGGGCCAATCGGGCAGTGCTCGGGAATGGGGATCATGTTCTCGAAACGGGTGGCATCGCCGTAGACAGTCGCCGAGGAAGAGAAGACAATGTTGGGAACATCGTTATCCGTCATGGCCTGGAGGAGGGAGACGGTGCCGGCAACGTTGACGCGGTAGTACTCGAGAGGGATCTCGCCAGACTCGCCGACAGCCTGTGATCAATCGTGTTAGTCTTCGTGCCACAAGGGCATCGCAAAGGAGCAAAGGAGCTGACCTTGAGCGCGGCGAAGTGAATGACACTGTCAATCTCGGGGTGCTTCTTGAAGACCTCATCGAGGCCGGCCTTGTCGGTGACATCGACCTGGTAGAAGTGGGGTCGCTTGCCGCTCAGCAGCTCGATACGGTCGACAGCAACCTTGGAAGAGTTGTACAAGCTGTCGACAATGACCACATCGTAGCCGTTCTGGAGGAGAGTGAGGGAGGTGAAGGAGCCAATGTAGCCGGTACCACTGCAAGCCACCAAATCGCGCGGTTAGCCTCTATGCTGTATTCGGACTTGCGCCAACAAACAACGCCGCGACGGCTGGTGTCAACGGTGCCACAGGCAATAGGATTGCCATATACTTGCTAGTCAGGCGAGAAGAAGCGGTAGCTTACCCGGTAACCAAGACAGTTCCAATGGCCATCGTGAAGAAATTTGCTGGCGGCGATCGCAACTATATGCGGTGAGGGGTAATTTGGAGGTGGAGGGGGGGAGCGTAGGTAAGTTGACGAAGGGTAGTGAGAGCTGCGCGGTCCGTCGGGGTATCAAGTCGTAAGGGTTTGAAGGAGAGCGCAAGTCTGTCGTAAGGTTGAGTTTGGAGGAATGACGAAAGGGAGAGGTTGTAAAGGATTGCGGGAGCAGGCGAGAGATATATCTGGCGGTTGACGTGAGGGGTGGGAATAATGAGGCGACGGTCGCAATAAGGAAAAAGTAAACGGGGTCGTCTGTCTGTAACGTCCAGGCTGAGTGATGATGTGGGAGAGAAATTGGCTCGGCCATGAGTGCCACCGTTCGCGCCCACGCCCACGCCCACGCCCACGCCCACACCCACGTCTTCCGGTAAGCCCACCATGCCCACCAGCGAGACCAAGCATTAGGTTGAGTGCAATGCGTGCTGCCAGTCCCAGAATGTAGGTACTACGTCTTTTCACAGTAGTGAATTTGGGGCCATTCGGGGCCACCTCAATGTTCCATCCGCAACGGCCAATCTGGCGCGCCAAATTGGAGGCGATGGCGGGGTCCTGCAGGCGGGGGTGGCACCAATCTCAGGCTCTGTGGCTGGCTGCGGAGCCGACTAATTTCATCCTCGATGTTCAAACGGCGCAATTGTTGGCACGCTGAAACTTGCAACGACCGGGGATCGCGGTGCCGTGGAGACTGATCTTCGTGACGGTGGACGGGCCGCAAGGTCCCTACTGATTGATCATGTTCAATGCTGCTCCTTCACTGTCACCGTATCACTGGCTTGTGTATCTTGCCATCCAGGACGAACCGAGTGAATACGGTCAGGCATCCATAGACCGATAAACTGACGAGGCCTGAGTGAGAGTCAAGAGAGAGATCGGATGACGGATCAAGAGGTGGATGGCCTGGTGGAGTGTCTCCCCGGCGCATGCTCCCCGTATCCGTATTGTTTAACCCTTCCCGGATGTCTCTTTGCTGTTTGTTGGAGCGGCTGGGTGGTTGACCGGCCTAGCCTCGCCGAGTAGGTGCTTTCCTGCCCGAGTTCTCCATATGCGCATTTGCGGGATCCAGTCTGACACTGCAGTTTTGCCATTTTGTCCGGTTGTTCGCCCGAAAGAACGAGGGTGAGGGGCCGGCGGGTGCCCGTGTTTGTAGACGGCAGCGGAATGGAAGTCAGGTCTGGGCCTAGGCACATTGCTTTAGCGCAGACGAGACGGATACCATGGCTGGTCCATGGCTCAGGATTAGTCATTGCATGTTTCCCGTGCTGCCTGGCGCAGGTCTTGCATCGAGTCAAAGTGCCCTTCATACACTCGATGTTTTGCGCGATATATCAATGGCAGAGCGCAAGGCGAGTTGGACCAAAGCACGTGTTGGGAATCGCATGTCGATGAATCTCTCCAGGATGAACCAGCAATTCGAGGTGGAGTCTCAAAGGTTGTGGGCAGGGCGTGGAGCAATCGGTGACGTACTGCGTGGTCTGGATTAATGAGGTGTTGCAGCCTCAGGTTTAGATTCTCTTCCTCACCATGAACAGCTTATCTTATCTTATCATGGTAAGAGGTTCATCTGCATTTTGAGGTATCATCACGTGGTCGCAAATTTAGACTGCTTATCTAAGGAACTAAGGTTCTCGCTTATGTAAGATTTCATACTCGGCGGCGCGAAGCTGGCCGACCACCGTTGCGGGGACCTGATCAGTGGAGGACAGCGCGTGCGTGGGCAACGGACACGCTGCAAGGGTCTGAGCTTTCTCTCTCTGCACCCGACCCCCGGTTGCTGGCTGGGCGGTTGGCGGTGGGCGGCTGTCCGTCGCGAAAACATTCCCATGTCCGGTGTGTGTGTGTGTGGGTGTGAAGTTCCTCAAGTGAACGCTTCAAGACGGCACAAAGAACTCAACGAACCCTCGGGATATCTCTCGCCTTGCATCACTGCTGTCGCAAACCTCATTCTCCTCGGCCGACACTTCATTGACCCGCTCATTCCGCACGCTCAGCCGCATTCCTTCGTCAAGCCCATCTATCTGGTCCTCTACACCGACGATCCGACGCGCGCGTGGTTTGGCGCGACTTGTGCCTGGGAAAAGATGGTCGTTGCGACCAGGGACCGCTCTTCCTCTCTTTGTTGACAATCCGCCTCCCTCCCTTCCCGATCCGGCGAGCCTGTCCCTCTGGAATAGCTTCACTTTGGGATTCTTCTCTCGCTCCAAGCTCCTGCAACTGCCTCCCTTGCAGCCTTCACAAAGGCACATTCGCATCCGACCTCCGACCTGGCGCCAATTCTTCTCGAGCTTTCCCTTTCGGAGCCGCCTCCATTGTAGCTCAACATAGATCTCATGCTTCATTGCACCTGCCATTGTTGACGAGACAAAAGAGACCTCGAGTTACGACAAACTGCTTTTCAGAGACTCGTTGAAAACTCCAGCGCATGTCTACCCAAACAATAATAATGTGAGTTGCGTCTTTGCAATCCTTTCTCCTTCCATTGCTTCTTTCCTTCAACGCTCTTTCTTCTCGCGCTTGCCGGCAGTGAGTTTGACCTCATCGTCACTTCTACTTCGACAACTCTCAGCAACCTACCTGACTCATTCAGCCCCGTCACTCATTCCTCCTCATACATCGTATCTCTTCTCATCTTCACCGATTCTACTCCCCGTCTCATCTCACTACTACGTGGTGTTGAGTGATCTCATTTGATACACAACCCGCCGTCGCAACCCACGACTCACCATCCTCACAGACCATCCTCCGTCACACTGCGCCAAGATGCCTCCCAAAAGAAGGGTCCGTGACGATAACGGTGAGGCGCAATCCACCTTAGCCGGTGGTGCTGCCGTCAGTCGAGAGCTGCCTCCGTTGGCATCGCGACTTGACACATCTTATGGGTCTGCACCTTCCACGATTCTACGGAACACTCGCCGCGGTCAACAACGCAACTTGCAAGACATCATCAAGGACACACTACACAACAGCGATGATTCTGATGATCCCGGTGATCCGGATAATGGCGACGAAAGCGATGATGCCAGCTCCAGCAGCAGTGAGAGCAGCAACAGCAAACAGCCAAAGCCGCCTCCTTCTCGACGCACAAAGCAAACAAGGCAAACAAAGTCACCAGCTCCCCTACCAGCGCCGAAGCCGAATCCGCCGCGCAGAGTGCAACCGAGTCCTGATCCTGACCCCGACCCGGACTTCGACCAAGACTTTGGTCCTTATCGAGAGTCGTCAGAATCCCCCGATCCATTGAGGGATGCAACACCAGATCCGCCCCTCGTCCGACGCTCACCGCGACGACAATCACCAGCCAAAACTGGTAAGTCGGACCACGTGCGCGACACTAGGT